AACAAAGGTCCCTTTTTCTTCTTCCTCCTACCCATTTTCCTCATTGTCCTTCAAGACTCACCAACATAGTCTCACTTTTCTTAACCATCTCTTTGAGGCCCTTCCAGCTTCTACCTTTGCCTGTTCCCAAAGCCAGTGTCACATATTTTAGGCTATATGTGCTGTGACTGTCAAGTTTTTGTAGTGATGGAGCAGGAAATTATTGTCCAAGGGAACATGGGGAAGAAGGAAAAGCAGAATCTAAAAACATTCCTTCGAACTATCCAGTCTGTCTTCCCATCCATTCACCCATTGCAGTTCATGTTAGCTTTCAGTTTACTTGGGTATTCTCACCAGGTCAACCCTCCCCCTTCCTCTTCCTTTGTCATTGTTACTTTAGCTGCTCCTTGCTTCTCTTGACCATCTGCAGTTTCTTCAAGGTTAATGAAGGGGACTGGGCTGATACAGGGGCTAAGGGAAAATGTTGTAAAGACATGGGCCATGGAATTTTAGTCTGGTGGGAAAAATCATTAAAAGTAAAATATTTATAATACAGTGTACTAAGTGATATGAAGAAGTGAAGCCCTGTATTATGGGGAGAATAGGGAAATAGCTTCTAAATCAGACTTGGAGTTCATGGAAGGCTTTACAAAGGATTTAGGTAGGAATTATAATAGATATAACACAGTTTAGGGTATAAAGGCATCTGTAAAGGAATAGTTTTGTGAGATAGCAAAATTTTTAGGACCCACATGTTATTCTGAATGGTCTGGAACAAAGAATGTATGCAGAAGAGTGGTTGGAAAAGTTTGAAGAAGGAGGGGCCTGAATATAGTGTTATACCGAGGACCTTGGATTTTTATTCTTTAGGAGAGTGGGAAATCTTGGTTTTGAGCACGGAATTGTCAGGATCAGATTCCATGTTTTGAAGACAGCTTTGTATGATGCTTAAGCTCTAGGGCCGCTTGCTTGCATGGGACCTTTCTAGAGTCCTGAAAAGGGCACTAACAATCAGTTCTGTGATCAACTGTTCCTTGTAAAATGCAAAAGGAAACTATTTTAACTGCAATACTCTCTTTCTACTAAAACTTGCCTCCATTACACTTTATAGGCTGTGGGCATTCTTGGAAACCAGCTAAGGGGAAGTTCAAGATCATTTAATCTGTGTTTAGTAATAGATATTAAAGTAGTTTATGGTCATTTCTGTGCATAGCTATCCTGGTATAGAAATGGCTTCTAGTAATAATCTTACTAACTATCCAGCAATTATAACATAACACAAAGATGTATGGCCAAAGGTCATAGTGTGATAGTAATGTGTATTCATGATTTTGTATTTGCTTCTTAAAGGACCCTAAATTGTGTAAGCTTCAGGACCTAGAAACCAGTATCTTTACCTGAAGAAATGCTAGAGAAATTAGTGAGCTGTTATTAAAATTTTTTAGCTTCATTAGAGATGAAGGCGTGAACCAAGGCAGTGGTAGCTAATATGGAGGGAAAGAGTCAAGATACAAGAAACATGCTGGGAGTACCAGGGAACTTGGCAATTGTTTTGATGGGAGATGAGTTTCATAACAAACAAGTTCTCGACTTGGATAATTGGGAGGATGGAAGCCCATTCAAGGAGAGAGAACATTAGGGGAATTGCAAATTTGAGCACAGGGTGAACCCCCGTTTTGGGCATGTTGCATTTCAGGTGTCAGAGACACAAGTAGAGGAAAACGTTGGTTTGCAGCTCAGCCAGCACCCAGGCGTTTGGAGGATATAATTTGCTGTATTTTCCATTCTCTGGAGGCCACTTGCTGGGCGATTTTTGGCCCTTGCTCTCCTGTCCTCGGTCCATTGAAACAGCAGGCACGTCCTCACCCTTGGAGCCTCCCAGCGACGCCTGCTCCTGGGATGTGGGACTGGCACCTCCGCCCCAGAGGAGCACTTTCAGGGAGTGCAAGTACGCAGGCGCCCTGAGGCGCTCAGACTGGCGTAACCTTCAGTCACTCGTGGAGGTCCGTGCAGGTTTGAGTCTCTGCATTGCTTTAGGCAGGATACTTTTCCCCCACAAAGAAAACATCGTCGTCTCACTTAATCCTCCAAACTTCCAGTTTCCCCACAGGAAGTCAATGTGCCTTCCTGAGGGCTTTGTAAGGTCTCCAGGGCAGAGGCAGAGGCGCTAATGAGTGTGAGTCAGCGCTGATTTCCCAGCTGGTAAACGTATGCCTCATTACCTTGGGTGGTTCTGTACGAAGCCCAGAAAGCTTCGTGAGCTGAGTTTTAAAGTCTGCAGTAACTTTTTGGTTCCCCTATATGAACCTGGAATTAAGAGGGAAAACTCTCAGTGATCAAGATACCAATTTCTTAAGCCAGTTTTCTAAAGGAAGGCACCAGAGTAATTGCAGCCTCCTGGAATCTCAAATTAGCTATGTCCCTGAGCGAGCTGGAAGGTTTTGAGATTTCCACTATCTTGCAAATAAACTCTTGCAGTGTAGCAGGATAGTTGAGGAGAACTGGACCTCATTATTACTAACAATTGTGCAACAGATAGAAGTGTATATTTGTATTAGTTCACTACTTACAAATGCCTTCTAAATATGTCCATGGAAGAATACTAAAAAATATTGTGCACAGTAGTAGTCCAGTGGGAAAACTTATGTCACTGAAGAAGATGACTGGTAATTTAGAGTGTGAATATGAATGTGCTACAATTACACCTTGAATGCTGATTGAGTTAGAAATCTCACTTCAGTGAGGCTTATCCTGACCACTCTTCGAAAAGAGTTTAACCTACCATTCTGTTCCCATCCCTCTTACCTGCTTCAAGTTTTTTTCTCCATAGCACTTTTTACTTTGTAATGTATAGCATAATTTACTTATTTATTACAGCCATCATCTATTGTTTATTTATCCCACACCAGAGTTAAGATCCAGGAAGGCAGGGTTTTTTTTTTCCTGCTTACTAATGTATTTCAAAGGTCAAGAACAATTTGGCCCATAGTAGGCATTCAATAAATATTTATTGATTTAATGAAAGAGTGAATATGTTATTTTTCCAAAGAGCATAAAGTAGAGCCTCAATGGGCTTGCGTGATTGCCATAACCTATGTGGAACATAGTTCTATCGAAAGTCTTGGTAATGAAGACAGCCAACAAGTGAACAAATGTTTATGGAATCCCTACTATTCTGATACTTTAAAAAAATGTATTACACCTTTCGTTGTGACTTGGGGGAAGGGCCCATGTGGTTCACCTACATACTAATAGCATCTCTTATAGTGATATGTAGATACCAGACGATAAACATTTGTTGAAAGAGCAAAGAAGTGGACTGGTTTAAGGCATTAGGTTATCTTGGAACCCAGTTATTTTTTACATGAACATTTATTTCCTGAAATTATGGTTTATAAAAGTAGTATTTGGCAAACTGGGTCTACTTCTCTGAAGGATTTGCAAATTTTCTATGATAATTTTTGGAGTTTTCATTTTAGTGTTCATCTGAAAAATTAACATACGTATTTTGGGTTATTTGGATCACCAAATACTGACAGAAGATTTCGGTGTCTCTGTTTGTTTTCAGTCTCTTTCTAACATAATATAGTACAATGTTATAGGTTAATAAGAAAAGAGCAGAAGCAGCTTGAAAAAGTAAATGATTTATTCATTACAAATGAAGCCCAAAATGACATTAAGCGATTCTGTTGGAAGATATCACAATAGTTTAAAAGGAGAAAAGACATGAAAGAAATGATTTGTAACATGGTAAAATAGGCTTGTTGAACGAGCAGTCAGTATCATATTCCTGTTTAGAGAGGTGATTTAGTTTGGCAAAGCATAATCATCAGTGTTTTTAAATTAATATTTTTTAATTTAAATTTTGTTAGCTTTATAATTTTGTAATTTTGTAGGTAGGGGTTTTTTTTTGTAGCTGCGAGAGCTATGATATGAGAAATTTGAGCCTACCTTTATGTTTGTACATACTTAATAATGTCATAATGGAAATAGTTGAAGTTCAGGACATGGGACTTTAAAATACGTTTTTACTTTTAGTGAGTTTTAGTGAGTGTTTATATTTCACTCAAGTTTGTGAAAAAGGATAGCAAAGCTTAGGGCATCAGGGCCTAGGACACAGAATATTGATTTCAATAAAGACCAGGTACAACAGTTCAGTGTAGGATGAATATTTCTGATGCTTCCGCTGCTAGTGGTGCTGGAGATGGTGAAAAATAGAAGAGAGGGATCTTAGGAAAATGTAGAGAGATTGGTGGGAGAAAATGGAGATATTTTAGATGAAGTTGTAGCTTTCTTTGCAGTTGTGCTTTTGGCTCTGAATTTGTGAGTTCTCTTTCTTAGTGACTTTTCTGTGAAATGCAGTGGTTTTGTTTCTAGATTTAAAAGATAAATGCTGATCAGCATGTTTGTAGATGATGTCAAACTCTGTCTGGTATGTAACACTGGGAGATAGAAAGAACTGTTTAAGCCATTGCTATAGAAGATCAGAGGAAAGAGGTCCATATTTCTTGATATTTCCTCCCCTCCCCCTTACTACCCGCCTGCCCTCACCTACCACCACCAAACTTCCCCATCTGTCCCGGCAATGGGACATAGAAATAAGGGGAGAAATATAAGATGGGGACTTTGTTTTGGTTTACTTTAATAGAAGGGGTACTGGAGGAGGCATTATTTCAGAGTCAACTTTGCTTCCACATTCAGAGAAATACTGTATGGAGTTCAGTAAATCAACAAATATTTATTGAGCACCTACTATGTGCCAGGCATTATATGTGGAACTGAAGACAGTGAACAATACAAAATTCCTGCTTTTGGGACTTATATAAAACTAATACTTGTTGACTTTGTTCTAGTGTGTCTTTATCTTCACTTGTTATACTCTAATTGAGTATGAGTGGGCAATTTGAAAACTTTTAGTGCATTCTTTACGCTGATTTGTCTGATTTCCAGGATGGAATACAGAGTTAGAAACTGTAAAGGATCAGATTAATTTGTCCTTTTTATCTTTCTCTGTTTTTAAGGGGTGTCATGAAAGTTGACATAAATCTTCAGAAAGTGGACATTGACCAGTGTTCGAGTGATGGCTGGTTTTCAGGAACTCACAAATGTCACCTTAACAATTCAGAGGTAAGAACATGAAAATAAAGACCTCTGAAATCAGAAGCTCAGAAATGTATTATTTTTGATCTATTGTATTTCTGTGGGTAAGTGAACAAGAGGCATCTTACTGGGGGAAAAAAAATCTATGCAGGTCTGAATGTTGCTAAATAAAAAAGAGTAGGAAATGAAATTGGTGCAGAATAAACTGTTCATTTGGAGACTAAGAGAAGGCTGAAAGTGTAATTATGTCTGAAAGTTGACATTAGTCAAAGGCTGACCCTATTCTTCAAAAGGGGCTGGAAATTAAAACAGCAATGTAATGAAAAACCAGTCCCAGAGGGGTCAACCAGATTATGCATATTTTAATGGAATATGATATTTGTTGAAACCTTGATGCTATTCATTCAGACACACTGCCATCTACTAGAAAAGCAATAGAGAAAGTGTGGCAGAAAATTTTTGAAAATAAGAAAACTGTATATAGAGACCTGGAAAGGAAATGTGTGTATTTCCAATTTTCAGCTTCTATCCATGCATTATTTCATGGGACTATGGTTGGTTAGGAAAAGGCATAGAGCTCATACATCTGGAAATAAGACTGTCACTTGTTTTGTAGTTTCAGAAAGGAAATTGATGACATCCTGATTTCATTTTCAGTAATCTATCTCTGAGGTCCCAAAATGTTAAGAAACAAATGTACAATAAAGTTCCTGATCTTAAATACTTGGGCTATCCTGACATTGAGTTCATGAATTTGTGAGGAAAGCCTACGTAATTTATTGAAAAGACAGGGATATTCCCATAAACATAATCTACATCTTTAATTTTTTTGCCCTTTGTGAAAGAGGGTTGTACCTAATACAATTTTAAGGTAAGGAATATTAAATCAGAGAGAAAATTAACAAGCATTTATTTGTGCCATTATACAAACAAAAAAGTGCACAGACATGTGCACAGTTATACATGCATGTACCTATGCCCATTACATGTTTCCTTTGTGTAGCGCCCCCCCACATATCCTGCCATACACAACCCACACACCTTCATACCCATACCACCCCCCAAATAATCTTCTACAGTGTCCCACAATCCCCCTACACTCCACACACACCTCTACTTGCTCCCCCACACTCCCTACCACAATATCCCTCCACCCTCCCACCCACTAAACTCCCTGGAAACCCCCATGATTCTCCACATCCATCTAAATCCATCACACATTCCTACCATGTCCCCATGACCCCTACTTTCTCATACCCCGTGGACATTCCCACATATCCCCATAGCCCTCCCGCATGTCCACACACCTCCACTCGGCCCTGAATTCCTCCGCTCCCCCTAATTGGGACCTAGTTATGCAAGGAGATGTTTCTTTCTTGTCAGCGTTCAGAGCTAAGGTCCTCTTTTCACCTCCTTTCTCTATTCTTAGAGTTGGGGACATTTCTGGGTATCCACTTCCCCTTGGATGATTCTGGCATTTCTAAAGATATGAATCTCAGTCACTGATTTGGTGAATATCTTTAGCCTGATTATTATTTCCATGCCAATGGTTTATATAGCCACTTAGCTTCGTCTTTCAGCCAGAGTGGAATTTTTTCTGCATGGGTGTCATATTGTGGATATTGATCTGTATGTGCTCATTTCTGTATAGCCTTGTTTCAGTGGTGCTCCTGGGTGGTTCAATAAGCAGTCTGTTTAGAAACAAAGAGATATTTATTTTTCAGTTTGTTACAGTTACTGCTTTCTCTAATAATCTTGGTGTAGTTTTTGTTTCCTTATAGCACATCTATTTATTTGACTAGATGGTCATATTACTTTCTCCTTTTGGAAAATTGATTTATTTTTATTGCATCAGGATTATTAACTTTCTAGGTGTTGTGTCTTTTCAAAGCTTTCAAATAAACTAAGTTATTTCAAGATAAAATATGATCCTCTATTCTGGTTAAAAAAGATCAATTTGAAATGTATAACTTTGGGGATCATATATGGGACCATTATATTTATTTGATTCCTGTAGGAAAAATGTACCCTCCAAGACAACCAACAGTTCAATGAATCTCATTGAAAATGTTGTAGAAAGAGATCCAATGATAAAAAGAGGACATCATCAAACACTGAAATGTCTGTAAGACTTAGACTCTGGGTCCCTCCACCCCCTTTCCTTGCTCAGGTACTGGAGTTGGGATTTGGAGACCTTGGTGTTCTAGCCAGGGTCCAAGAGGCCCTCAGGGCTTAGTCTGACTCACACATGGCTGTCATGGAAACCCTTTTTTATTGGGCTTCTCTAAGGTCCTGTATTTCGTGCTGGTCACTCAGGGCTCCTGCAGCAGTTCCATACCACATTCTCAGTCTGATGACTAGCAATGGTCCTTCAATTTCTTCCCCATACTGATATGAATTGGAGACTAAGAGCTGGATTCTCTTGAAGTTTTCACTCCTTGGGAAAATGGAAAGAAAAATCGCTCATTCAGGGCATTTTTCATCTGCACTGGCTCTCCTTTGTTCCTTGTCGCAAATCTGTTACTGACTCCAAGAATCACTGTGTAAATTGGCTTATTTTGGGAAGTCATTAACATGAGTTGTATTTGTAGGGTGTTGAGGACAGCCTTTATGAATACCCATATCATTACAAACAGAGACACTTATGTTTACTGTGGGCTTTATCTTGCGAGTGTATAACATTTTTTTTTCTTATAAATATGAGAGGAAGATACAAATTTCAGAGTTATTATAGTTGAGGCAAACTTTTCATTTCAAAAATTCTTCCAGTGGTTTGTTGATTTTTCAGTCCCCAAGGCGTCTTCAACCAGAATAGTGAGTCTGATGTTGGAAACAGATAAGTGATATGTGACCAATGACAAAAGCCTCGGGAGCATTTCAGAAAAATATGGAATGGTTTGTGAGGAACATAATTACCCAGTGGGTGTGGGTTGTTACGTGGTCCAGGGGGCCACCAGGTATTTTCTGAAGGGCACAGTAAAATAAGATCTAAGTTGACAACCTTGAACTGGATTGCAGGATTATTCCAGCTGTTTTTGTAACTGATTCAGGTCACTGCAACATGGGCTTGATCATGCTGTCAACATCCATTTAAATAATTCTTTATGTATTTTCATATCATTGTTTGCTTGGAGTACACAAAATCTTCTCTTACAGAATAGTTTATTTAAAACATTAAAATAAATTAATACTCATTTTTGTTTTAAAGGTATTCTTTTGTTTTGTTTCCATTATAAAAGAAACTTTAAAATCACTATTTGAAGTAGGAAACATTAGGACAGTGGCCTTGAAACTTTTTTTATTATATTCTATTAGTAAAAATGCTTTAAGAATCCACACATACTTTAATATGACCATATGTAGATTATTTACCCCAAATTGTGCAGGCATCTTTTGTTACACTAATATATTCTATATATTATAAGTCAGAAAACTTAAGTTGAGATAAAAATTAAATAATATTTTCATGTAGATTATATTTTATAAAAATAAGTATATCTTTAATGAGAGCAATGTAATCGATCACAATTTTTGAAAAATTTTTAGTGCAAGTGTTATAATTGCTTATGCTTCATTATTTTTAAATATCTTAGTTTAATACTTAATGATGCAGTGATTCAGAGGTCTCTAAGTTCAGTTTATTTTTATACTTAGCTTAATATCTGTCCTAGTTGAAAATATACCTCATAAGGATGATATGTCAGTTGACGAAGAAATAAATTGTTGACTCTGTTTGCTAAATCACAATATTCATTTGTCAATTTCATCTACCAATTTTGCAAAGAATTTTGCAGAAATATAGCTGGCAGTTTTTCATCTTAATTGATGTCAGTTGGTCCCTGCAAACTACTTGGAAAGCTGGGCATTTTAATATTTTAAAGGAGCAGGTTAAAAATTCACTCAAACTTTCATAAGGAATATTTTCAAACATATTAGGATGTTTTATTTCTGAGTTTAAACTATATGGCTATGTGAGTATTTATAGCTTTTGGCAACAAAAACCACAACAGCACTGGAAACATTTCCAAATATCCATTTTCAAAATGTTTACTTCAAAAGGCTTTCCTTATGGATTATTAAAATGTCATTTTTACTTTGAAGGCAGAGCTTAGCTATTTTTTTGAAAATACCTGCTGCATAGACACTGTTGACAACCAGTTGTCATCAGGGAGCTGGTCAGCAAATTTGGAACATTTGTCTTTTTTGTAAAGAGCAATGCATAACTAATCTTTAAGTTCAGAAACAGGTAGTTCAGAAAATCTTTCAGGTAATCAGAAAATCTTTGTGTGGGAAAAGATTTTCCAGGTCACACATCAGAGAATGGAGAGAGTCAATTGGAAGAATCTCAAGAGTATCTGTGAGAGGGTGGTGGGTCATTGCTCTGTTTAGATTATTCTTTTTCCCTTTTGGCTCACAGTGAGGATTGCTAAGCAAACAAACAAAAACTCAAAAATCAGATTTTACACTAGGAAGTGGATGAATCCACAGTAAAGACTGTGGATGGGTTTCACTTTTTCTGTTGTTTCAACTCAAAAGATTTTATCAGAAACTTATAAATAAAATTGCTGCTAATTAATATCAATACTTATAATGGCCACAACTATTTAGCAATGTTTGTTTTGGGTAAAGAATTGTTTTATGTGCTTTACATGCATTAACTTAATCTTTATAGTTCCCATTTTACTGATGAGAAAGCTAAACCCAGAGGTATTGAATAACTTGCTTATAATCACTCAATTAGTAATTGGCAGAGCAGGAATTAGAATCCAGATTTGTCTGATTCCAGAGCACATTTTTTTGTTTTATACTACTATCTTATACTTGTTCTTTTTTAGGAAACATACCCAGATAAATTCCTTTAGGATTAGAAGTGAGAATGTACGGGGAGTTTTAGATTACAAACTGCATTTAACTTTGGGAATTGGGTAGCAGAGATTATGGGATATTGCCCTATGTCAGGTGTCACTTTAGATACAGTCCATAGGCATTATATTAAATAATTTCTGGGAAAATCTAGCATCTCTCTT